TTTTTATTGCGTGGACGGGGTGTGAGGGATGAGGTGCGGGAGATGTGGGAGACACGGTTGAGGGCGTTCTCGACCACCGAGGAGGGGAAGTTACGGTCCTTGAAAAACGAGGACAACTGAGATGTACGGGAGTGGAATGCCTCATCCTGGGAGCAGATGCGGCGGAGGCGAAGGAATTGGGAATAGGGGATAGCACATTACTGCTTCCTCTATCTATCCTGCTTGTCACCTCCACAAAGAATTTGAATACATTTATCCAGCATGATATCTACTTTATGAAGCCATACTGATTCTGCTTAATTGTGCTTTTTATTTCTATATGCTTTGTTATTACTTCCTTTATAACAAACTTTAACATACTCTCAATAACAGATGTTAAGCCATCTGTTTTTTATTTGTCCCCTTACCTTTTTGAATAATGGTGTTACATTGGCAGTTTTCAAATCCAGTGAGACTTTCCCAGAACCTAAAGATTCTTGAAAGATTATTCTCAGTTACTACCATTCTTACATGACCCAGTGGAACCAGAAGACACAGCTGTGTTTGAAATGGCATAAATTCAAACTTAGTCTGCCAAAACTGCTAGCATGTGGTCAATTAATGGAACAGGTTCCTTGGGGAGGTGACGGGAACAGTATTGATTCATTCAAATGAAATAAATATAGTTTTCATAAGATAACATTTTGCTTGAATATTTATGCAACATTATGCATAGTATATAGAAAATGTGCACCACTTAGGAGGAACAAGTGATTTTGGGCTATGGTTCTCTAAGCTCTCTACCACATCATTCTCACTTTGTGTCTGCATCTGGAGTAGATGAATTGACAGAGGTTACTCTCTGTGATTAGCTAACAACTCCACATTTGTTGCATCATGTTCCTAACCAAGATGGCAGAAGACAAACTGGAAGGACCTTCATCTTTCGTCTTCTAGCAATTCCTGTATTCCAAACAATTTATACAGTTGCCTTCATTATTTTAGACTCTTGATCATTATCTTGGTCAGACAGGGAATGTAGGGGTGGGGACACTTTCGATGAGTTAATTAATTGCTGTGAAATTTTAAGCGGACTGTGGGTAGCTGTGATTCTCATCAAGAATCCTGCACAAAGTTAAAACTGGATTTCACTGTAAAGTCCCAGTGGTTCAATGGCTGGCCAGAGCTTCAATCTAAAGGTACCCAAAAGAATTATCACTCGAGCTGAGATAGCAAAGGGTGAGATAGAACCACAACCATCAGGAGATGAAAAGGAGATATTATTCATGAAAGAGTGCAAAGCTTGAACTTCAAAGGGCTGTAATGTAGCATTGCAAAACAATAAATGAAGGTATTTTGACCATATTGTTAATGAGAATTATTTATTCAAAATCTAAAGCCTTGTAATTCATAGATTTAACAGTGAATGTCCAACTGGGCGGGTTAGTTACAGAATATGCATGCTAGTCCCATTCCAGCTACTTACATGCATTCTGTCAGGTACTCACTCACTTTCTAGATTTGGACTCAGTAGGTATGTAAATGTGCTCACATGTAAACTTGGACAATCCCATTCAAGACTGAACTAGGGCTGATGGAGTTCTTTCAGGTTCCAAATTAAACAGAGCAAAAATTAGGACAAGTTCAAATATCAGTACTGCCACATTTAACAGTCCACAGAAGGGGACTACATTTAGAATCTGCTGACCTCTGCCTCTAGTTACAGGTGACCTTTACTGAGGTGCACACCACATCAGTCAGCATCATTGTAAACCTCAAACAAATCAGTAAGCTGGTAGATGTTGTCATGTTCACAGTTTTCACTAGTCTCAAATCATGAGAGCGCAGCTGTGCTTCAACACACAACCAATACTCCCAACACCCCTTTACTCCCAAGGTCAACACCCACCAACAACCCCTACTCCTCCCAACTCCAAAGTCCTCCCAACCAGTCCTCAACCCAACTCCAACTCCCTGCAAACAGTCGCCTCACCCCAACAACACCCTCAACCAATCCCGTCCCTCTGAACAACTCACCCAACCAGCCACTATGCCCCCAACTCCAACACCCCCATACAGCCCCCTCACCCTAAACAGCTCCCCCAACCAGTTCCTTCCACAGCATATGACTCAAATAACTTCTCCTCAACTCCAACTATCCAAGCACCCTTACATTCACCAATTCCAACTCGTGCCCACCATCCCCACTCTCCCTAGCAGCAACTACTCTCCAAACAATCCCCTCCCCTCAACAATTTGACTCAATTAGAATTAACCTTACTTCCCCCAACTTTAACACCCTCTAATCACCCATAGTCTGCCTTAATTCCAACTCGTGCCCACCAACCCCACTCTCCCTAACAGCAACTACTCTCCAAACAATCCCCTCCCCTCAACAATTTGACCCAATTAAAATTAACCTTACTTCCTCCAACTTTAACACCCTCTAATCACCCATAGTCTGCCTTAATTCCAACACTCCCAACCATCCCCCTCTTTCACCAAATTAGTCCAACCATACCCTCTCCCAAAACACTCCTTTCCCACCCAACAACTCTTCCAACTACCCTCACTGCCTCGACTTGAACTCCATCCTCAAGTACCCTTTCTCTCCCACAACTTAAAACCCCAAGCATCACCCACACTCCAACTCTGACTGTCCTTCTGTAAAATGAAAGTGAGTGATTCACAGATCCAGTATCAAACAGAACCTGACACTGAATCACATCTGTAGATATCAAGTGACCAAATGTTTGATCAGAGGGCTAGGTTTTAATCAGCATCCAGACATTGGAAAGACAGGTGAAGAGGTTTACAGTGGGAATTTCAGAGCTTCAAAATTGGCTTTTGTAGCACAGTGGTAGTGTCCCTACGTCTGAGCCAGAGGCCCTGGTTCAAGTCTCACCTGCTCTAGTGGTGTGTAATAACATCTCTGAACAGGTTCATTAAAAAGCCAGGACTTCAAAACTTAGTACCTAAGGGCAAATCAGAGGCAAGGAATCCTGCAGTGATTAACTCAGCTCCTGACTCTGCAAAGCCTGTCCGCTACCCTCAAACCACAGATCAGGAGTGGGATCCACTTGCCTGGGTAAGTGCAGCTGCAACACAAGTCAAGAAGCTCGACACATCCAGGACAAAGCAGCCTGCTGGATTGGCACCACATCCACAAACATTCACTCCCCCTCCACCAAAGTTCAGTAGCAGCAGTGTGTACTATCTACAAAACACATTGGAGAAATTTACCAAAGTTCCTTAGACTGAACCTTCCAAACCCACGACCAGTTCCATCTAGACAGACAAGGGCAGCAAAGACATGCGAACACCACTACCTGCAAGCCCCTCACCATCCTGACTTGGACACATCTGTTCCTTCAAAACTCTGAAACTCCCTCCCCAAGGACAGCAGCAATTTAAGAAGGCAGCTCACAACCACCTTCTCGATGGCAATAAACTCAGGCCCAGCCACCAATACCCACATCCCATGAATGAATAAAACAAACTATGGTGGAGCAACTAAAGTTGGAGATGGACAAAAATCCAAAATTGCAGGGGCACAAGTAACACTAGAAGTTGTAGAATGGCTTAACTTTGCAGAAATAGGGAATAGCAAGGTGATGGAGGCATTTGGGATGGAAGCGGAGAAAATTAAAAATCGAGACCAAGAATGAACAGAGGCCAGCGAAGTGAGCAGTGATGGGTGAACAGGAGGTAGCACAAGTTAGGATAAGGGCAGCAAAGCTCCAGAATGTGCAAACCCAGCCAGGAGGACACATGAATAGTGAACTCAGAGTGTGGCTGATTGTTTGAGGATCAGGAGGTGAGAAGGCCAGAGTCTGGCAGCCTTACGGTCAGCAGCCATGTCAATGGAAGCCCATATCAAACCAAAAAGAAAGCAAAGTGCTGTGAACAGACACTAGACATGGATGCTCATTTGAAGAGGTTAGCACAATGAGCTAAATAGTCTTTTTATGGACTTTGAGATTTCTGTGTCTGGTTCAGCCTCAGGCAATTGCTGGGGACAGGGTTCATGGGCAAAGGAGTAGACTTTGCAACAGGGGTTAAAGACTCTAGCTTCTGTCTTCCCAAGACACAATTGGTGGAAAGTTTCTGTCTATCATGTACTGGGAGCTGAACAACAGTTTGATAAACATGAGGCAGGAAAGGGGTCAAAACAGACGTTAGCAGGTCTAGCTGGGTGTGGTCAGTCTGCATTGGTAACTGACAGCATTACAGATGGAGAGACATGGGGGAACGTGTCAATGAGATGCAGAAAGGGGTGAAGGGGTAACAGCAGAGGTGAGAGGAAGCCATTACGGCTGATCTGGAGCCCAGAATGGATAGCTAACAGCACCAGCAGCTCACAGTTCCCTTTT